TTTTTTTTTTTTTTTTTTTTTTTTTTTTTTTTTTTGTGCATTTTAATCAAAAAGTCGGAAATGATTGACTTCATAAGTTGACAAGAAGGGATGATGGAAAAAGGGATATAAAACAAAACTGCAACAGTGTATGCGTGAATAGTTAAATGAGTGAAATTAAATAAGAAAAACATATCTCGTTGAATGTTGACATTTTGGCGATGTGAAACTTTTCTTAGAGAAATCGTCGTAAGTATCATAGCAGAGAAAGTGTCTTTTAATTATTTCTCTTTTTTAGGCAATTTATGCGATTACTATGGTAATCCAAAGTCCGCATGTGTATCATAGGTCTATGAGATCATTAGGAACCGGAAAAGTTCTAATGCGGTTGAGGAAGCAATCGGGGTCAAAGCTTCTCTTTGCACATTGAAAATCTGTATCAAGAAAACTGGATGTGAACTGCATAATATAATGCAAATGCAATTCGGATCTACACATGGGTCTGAACTTTTCTAAACCACAAAACTTAGATAACGGAATTTTTGTTGTGACGACTCTCTTTCGACTGACTGCCGGGAAAGTGATTGACGGGAAATTTGCCCTAAATCATTGTGATGTTAAATATCTATTTGGCGGATATTTTGTTTTACTCACTAGATGGCGCGGGTTATATCTTCGCATTTTAAATCCGTGTGCCGCGGTCTTCACAGTGCATATGCATGTGTCCGTAACGGAAACCCACTAGAGATAGTTATTTGCCGGTAAACTTACAAGTAATTGCCCAAATTTGATGGGAAAAATGGGTTTACTGTTGCACGCCAATAACTAAACAGCGAGTAGTTAAGCGAGTCAATACAAGATAGAAGCTTTCACCCAAAAAAAAAAAAAAAAAAGAAAAAGAAAAAGAAGAAAAGCATTTATAAAAGCATTTGCATTCGGTCAAAACGTGATATTGAATAATGCCTTGAAATGGGTTACAACAAAAACTAGCTTAGCCTGTTTACCCAAGTTAAAAGCAACGTGGAGTCGGTTAGTCGCCTTCGGCATCGTAACTCGATATCAACTTACAATTTTAACTTATCGGATGGCAACTGTTGACAGGTAGTAAATTGATAAAACTCAATAGCGCGATAGTCAATGTTTGCTCGATATCGAATGAAAAAATGCCGTACTTATGTACGAACAAAAATCCAAAGCATTGGCAAAATTCATAAAAGCAAATAATTATTCCGGATGCTTCTACTTATTCGTGTCGTGTAGAATATGGAAAGGGATGAAGGCAAATGCAAATGGAATTAATGAAAATATTCCGAGAACGGGAAATTGGGGAAATGTAGAATTACAGTAAATTATTTAACAAGTATTCTGGAAATGTGATATTCGTGTGCATGGACAAGCAATTGCGAGCGTTACGGGAATTACGAACACCAAGTTAGCGATTAAAAAAAAAATTAGAAACACTATTATGTTATACGGTTGATCAGTAGACACCGTACACCGCTTCGCTTAATACATTAACTCATGCAACGATTTTACGAAAAAAGCTATCGTTATATGGGAAGTGGTCGACGAAGTAGTCCGATCTGAACTATTTGCAGCAGTGTTCGTCGTTGAGCCAAAATATCTCAAAAATTTCGACCTATAGATTAAACGCAAATATATAACACGGACAAATAGAGGCATGGCCAG